CCAGCTCCCAGTGCCAGCTCCCAGTGCCAGCTCCCAGTGCCCAGTGCCTGCGTCTCGCTTGCAGCTCCCAGTGTCCCATGACAGCTCCCAGTGCCAGCTCCCAGCGGCCACTGCCTGCTTCATGATTCCAGCTCCCGGAATCCCAGTGCCCGCCCCCAATGCCCAGTCCCGTGACTCGGTGCCAGCTCCCAGTTCCCAGTGCCAACCTCCGCCCCTCCCGCGGTCCTCCCGCCCATCGCCGGTGCCGCTCCCCTTTTCACCGTCTTTTTCGCCCTTGCCGTTCCCTCGCCCCGGTTATTCCTGTCCCCGCCGTTCCCGGCTCCCGCTCCGCCGGACGGCGCAGCAACATGTGGCTGCAGGCGATGCTCTATCTCGTCCCCCTCCTTCTCCTCGTCTTCCTCCTCCTCTTCTTCATCCCGGTCCTCTTCTTCCTGTTCCCTCAACTCTCGGGCGGCCCCAACCCCTTCGCCGCCGACAGCCGCCGCCCGCCGGGGCCGCTCGTCACCGACAAGGCTGTGCGGAGGACCGTCGTCAAGACAGGTACGGGACCCCCGGCAGGCACCGACCCCCGGCACAGCACTGGCCCCTCAGGGCGGGGTCACCCACTGGGGTGGCGTTAATCGTCCCGGCATTGCCCCTGGAGCGGAATCACCCCCCGGGCTGTCACGGCCCCCCCAAGGGCAGCACTGGCTCCCCCAGGGTGGCATCTCCACCTGGGGCAGCATCAACAACGCAGGGCGGCATTGTCCCCCTCCCCCGGGTGGCATCAGCCCCCCCTTGTCAGTCTAAAACCACCCGGGGTGGCATTGTCCCTCCCCCATGTGGAGTCCCCCCCCGGGTCAGTATGGCCCCCCCAGGGTGACATTGTCCCCCCCCGAGTGGGGTCAGTCTGAAGGCCCCCAAGATGTCACTGTCCCCCCAGCGTCGCAGTCACCCCCCTGTTAGTGTGACCCCCCCCTGAGGGTGACACCCCCCAGCCTGGCACCACCCCCTGGGTGCCACCCCCTCGCCGCGGTTTTGGGGGTGCCCCCCCCGCTGACCCCCCCCCTCTCCCCGCAGTGTTCTCGGCGGACAAGGTGCCCCCCCAGCTCGATGCCATCGTGGTGGGCAGCGGTGTGGGGGGCCTGGCGGCAGCCGCGCTCCTGGCCAAGGCCGGCCGGAGGGTGCTGGTGCTGGAGCAGCACGGGAAGCTGGGGGGCTGCTGCCACACCTTCACCGAGAAGGGCTTCGAGTTCGACACCGGTACCACTTGGGGCCCCAGAATTCCCCCCCTGGATCCGAAGGAGGGGGCTGGGACACACTCGGGGTGGGAATTGCACCCATCGGGCGTCAGGTCAGGGGGCCCCAGCACCCACCCTGTGTTAGACGAGGCTGCTCTTCAACCCAAAATTCTCTGGCTGAAAGGCACCAACCCCCCCTGAATTCCCCATATCCAGCCCCTATGGAACTCTCAGCACCAGGAATATCGCCTTAGGACAAACTTGGCACCTCCTTGGAAAACTCCACAGCAACACAAAGTCCAGCTCTGTGTATCCCCGGAGCTCCAGGATTAATTATTTCCAGCAGGGATGAAAAATCGCAGTGTGTAACAAAATTCCCCGTTAAAAACACCATGGCAAGTAACATTCACCCCAAGTGGGAGGCAGGTGTATCCCAGATTTTCCTTTTCCCTTCCATAGGGAGCTGTTGAGCTGGGAGTGGAAAAATAAGAGGAGGGTCCTGTACATCCCAGGGTGGAAAAAAACAGGAAAAATACCAATATGGAACAAAATTCCCCAGATTCCCAAATAAAAATGTGATGGTGAGAACTGTTCACCCCAAGTGGGAGATGTGTGTATCCCAGATTTTACCTTTCCCTTCCACATGGAGCTGATGGGGAGGGGATGGATAAATAAGAGGTGTGTTCGGTGCATCCTGGGGTGGGAAAATAAAGGGGAAAAAAAAGGAAAAATA